CATCTATGCTAACTAACGCAACACTCAATCCCCATCGGTTACTCAGCGCCCTCTACTGGACATTTGCTGCTACTAAGATTCTAATAAGATGCTCACAAAAGTCTGTCTGTGATTTCATGGGTGTTACAGCGCCATCTATTGAACGTGTCTGCACACAGCGCAACCTACCATACATAAGCCAACATACAGCGCCACCTACCTTACACGAATATGCACAGAGCGCCACCTACCTGACGTGGTTCCTGCACACAGCGCCACCTACCGTACATAAGCCTACACACAGCGCCACCTACCTGATGTGGGTCCTGCACCACCTGCGCAGTGAGTCGTCATGGCGAGGCAGGAAAGGTATCTGCAGCTTCCGCTGCGCACATCCCGCCGCGCCGCCGCCGCCATATCTCATCGCATCCTCCTCCTCCTCCTCCTCCTCCTCCTCCTCCTCATCCTCCTCCGCTAGCAACCACTCCTTCCTTCTCTGCCTCCCTCCCTCCCTCCCCGAATCTCTCATATCCTTCATCTCTGAGTCTCCGATCTCCTTGTTGCTCTTCCTGCTCCGAGATTCAACTAGGTCACGATTCCAGACACTTTCTCTCCTTTTAATCTTCCAGTAGATGCTGACTAAGCCTGCAGTTGTGGCTGTTGATCAGTAACTGTCGTTCAGTGACTATTGATCAGTGATCGTTGCTCAGTGAATGACAGTAAATGGCCTTGTTCCAGCAGTCTTCATCAGTGACCGTTGATCGGTAACTGTTGCTCAGTGAATGACAGTAAATAGTCTTGTTCCAGCAGTCTTCTTCAGTGACCGTTGATCAGTGAATGACAGTAAATAGTCTTGTTCCAGCAGTCTTCTTCAGTGACCGTTGATCAGTGAATGACAGTAAATAGTCTTGTTCCAGTACGAGTCTTGATCGGTAACCGTTGATCAGTTATCGAGTGACCCGTCTTTTTCAGCATTCGTGAAGCAGCCTAACTAATCGAAACCTTCATTCCTAGCAAGCAGCCTCCGCCGCAGCATCGCCACGGAAACGTACGAGGTGAAGCCAAGACCTTTAGATGAAGCCATCTCGGTCGGCGCGCGCTCCCGTCTGACCCGCAGCTAGCATCTCGTTAGCGCCGCATCCGACTCCTCAGCCTCCCTGTCATCTCTCCATCTGACTCTCGGCGTGATGAGCAATCGTGACAAATTCCACTAACGAACTCGATTTTCGCGCCATCCCTCGATCGATGTCATCGTCACGGCAACGGAGCGATACCGTAGCGCTACTATACCATATTATACTTTACCCCATATTATGCTATTAATATACTAAATCTTATTTTATTATAACATATCTTTATTACGTTATTATTATAGTAATTCGTATATTATATTAGTTGTCGTGGATGGAACACATGAGGAATATCAATGATAACGATCAATAATCAATAATCAATAACAACGATGACTGTAACAGAGGACCAGCACATATTCTGCCGTGGAGTGAACCAACCCTAGCACACATATACGAATGTACACATTCAATATCCAAATACGCATCTACGATCATATATGTCTAATATACATATCTATATATGTCTAATATATACGTCTATATACGTTTAATATATATGTCAACAGTCAATATATGTTTAAAATGTATGTCTAGACTATATATGCCTAATAATATATTTGTTTGTACGTTTAATATGAAAAATTATGTATGTGTATCATAGACAGATCCAGGGGAGGTATGCATGAATAATTAATTACACTATGTTGTATTTTGTGTGTGTTCTGTCACGGCTGTATATATACACGGGCGCCACAACATACGCAATAATAACACACAAAATATACAACAATAACACATAAAATATACAACAATAACACATAAAATATACAACAATAACACAAAATATACAACAATAACACATAAAATATACAAGCATAACACCTAAAATATACACAGACATCGTGACTACATCGCTACGGCTTCACAGCACGTGATACACGCATGCACACGCACGCACGCACGCACGCACGCACGCACGCACGCACGCACGCACGCACGCACGACACACACGCACGCACGCACACACACACACACACAGACACACACACACACACACAGACATACACATAAGAACAAACATTGAGTGTAAACAGTACGATGATATAACTTCCCTGTATAGTAGCGAATAGTATAGTATGGTATGGTATGGTATGGTACGGTACGGTACGGTACGGTACGGTACGGTACGGTACGGTATAGTATAGTATAGTATAGTATAGTATAGTGTATAGTAGCTGTAGGTGAATCGAGTGTTTCGCGAGGTTTAGCGACTAGACTCTAGGATAAACACACATAGAGGCATGTAGTATATTATATATACACTGTCGGAAACCATGAACTGCATGTCGCATCGCGTGTGACCCCCGCAGCCACACTACTACAGCCAACTACAACCTCCCTCTCTCGTTCTTCCTGTTGCTTCCTCTCTCTGTCTCTCTCTCTC